TAAAGGGGAAAGGTTGCCTACCCCTGCACTAATTCTATGATTCTATGATTCTATGTGACTCAGCACACTTCAATATGCCTACTCATCATGGCTTACTGTTGAGCTCAGGTTATCTTTCACCCTTGTTCTATATTGCAGCATCTAGGGCATTTTCCTTCTGGATGCCATCCATCCTAATGCTATTTTCTTTTCCTCACCATCATTCATTACCTGAATAGAGTTTCATTCAATTGTGATCCAAAATAGACTGCAGAAATAATCCAGTTTGACAGTGCTTTAACTGCCCTGGCTCAATGCTAGGGAAGTCTGGGAACTGTAGCTTTTTTAGCCTTTGCTATCAGAGCATTGGTGCCACATTAACTATAATTCCCAGGATTCCCTAGCACTGAACCAGGAGAGTTAAAATGGTCTCAAACTGGATTATTTCTGCAGTCTGTTTTGGACATGAATAGATGGAAAATTAGTCAACACCTATATAAATTCTGTTTTTCTGCTGCTCCAGAGAATAGGACCCAGAACAAGGGATGCAAGCTATATGAAAAGAGATTCCACCTCAACATTAGGAAGCACTTCCTGACAGTAAGAGCTGCTCGACAGTGGAATACACTCCCTCAGAGTGTAATGAAGTCTCCTTCTTTGGAGGCTTTTAAACTGAGCCTGGATGACCATCTGTCAGAGGTGCTTTGATTATGAGTTCTTGCATGGCAAGGGGTTGGGCTGGATGGCCCTTGGGGTCTCTTCCAGTTCTATGTTTCTGTGATTCCATTGATTCAACTGATTCAATGGAACCAAGTCTAGTTGGTTTGAACAACTGAAATTAGTCTAAACTGTGATAGATTTGCTTTAGCATTGCTGTAAACTGGAAATTATTTGAAGGCACACAAAAACAAACATAATGAGACCATTCTTTTCTTATATTCATGAAAATTAAGCCCTCTCTTTTCTCTTAAAATTCCTGCATGGCTTGACATCATGTCTTAAGGGTAGGATAATATTATTATTGAGCTTTTTCATGTTGGGAAGTATTACACTGTTACAATTTTATGTATAAGTATGTTCATTTTCTAACAAATGTGATTTGTAGATTTTTTGTAGGTTTCTTCCTAAGGAGCTATGCAGACAGGCAAAAAGAGGTGCTTTGAGGGTGACTTATTGGTGTGGCGTTTAGATGACGCATGCCTAAAAGTCTCCAGGAAAGCACCCTCTAGCTGTCATATGCCGAGAAAAGCCACTCCAAAAAGGAGCCACTTTTTTCCGATCCTTTGGTGAAGATGTGCATCTTCGCATGTGTGTATGCATGCAGCTACACTGATGCACCAGAAAATGGCTGTATAAATGCACTATTGCATGTGCAGTGGAAATTGACGGTGATCCAGAGCATGTGCCCTATGATGCAAGCTTTAATTTAAAGCACCCTATGCTTCCTGGTGCAGGTGCACTTGAATATTAGAACCCTAACCCTAACCCTAACCTTAATTGTAAATCTATGCATACACCCTAGCAACTGTCCATGCATTCTCTTGCATGTATGCTTGCTGTCGGCATGCTCAGCAATTTGCATGAAAGAGGCTTTTGTGACCTCTTCTGTACAGTTCTGCAGGTGTGTATAAGACCTGCACACCACTTCCTGGCATGATGGGGGGAGGCTCCTGGAGTAACATTTGTCATGTGCCTGTTGACCATGTCCCTTGCATGACCACCAGCTGCATGTATCAAGTCTGTCCACACAAGCCTCCCTTGTATATACCTCTCCCCTCCCCCCTGATCTCTGTGGG